GAGAGAGAGAGAGAGAGAGAGAGAGAGAGAGAGAGAGAGAGGGTACTTCCATTGATAGGATGAGCAAAATTGAATGAATCTTCCGCTAGAACATCGAAATACACACTACTACAGGCGTGCGTGTGTGTGTGTGTCTGATTCATTCCAATTTTACTCATCCTATCAATGGAAGTAGCCTCTTTTTATCTCTCTGCGTGCATGGCTAGAAAACTCTCTCTCTCTCTCTCTCTCACACACACACACTCACACACACAGTATATTTCGATGTTGTAGCGGAAAATTCATTCGATTTCGCCCATCCTATCGATGGAAGTAGCTTGAGGCCAGCCACGGCGTTGGAGACTTACCTGTTGGCCAGTGCGTCACTCAACCTATCGATGGAAAACTCACTCTCTCAGAGAGAGAGAGAGAGAGAGAGTTCCATCGATAGGTTGAGCGACGCACCGGCCAACAAGTAGGCCTCCAACGCCGCGGCTGGCCTCACGCTACTTCCATCGATAGGATGAGCAAAATCGAATGAATCTTCCGCTAGAACACCAGCGTGAGGCCAGTCGCGGGGTTGGATACTTATTGTTGGCCGGTGCGTTGCTCATCCTATCGATGGAAAACTCTCTCTCTCTCTCTTTTCCTCCCGATCACACCGCTTAACAACAAGAGATGAGGGATTGTCCGTTGAGAGAGAGATAGAGGGAGGGAGGGAGGGAGGGGGAGAGAGAGAGAGTTGTTGGAATGAGGGATTGTCCGTTGAGAGAGAGATAGAGGGAGGGAGGGAGGGAGGGGGAGAGAGAGAGAGTTGTTGGAAGTAGCCTCTCCCTATCTCTCTGCGTGCATGGCTGGAAAACTCTCTCTCTCTGTCTCTCTCTCTCTCACACACATACACACACACACACACACGCGCGCGCGCGCGCATGCACGCACATACGCGTAGTATTGTATATTTCGATGTTCTAGCGGGAGATTCATTCAATTTGGCTCATCATATCGATATAAGTAGCGTGAGGCCAGTCGCGGGGTTGGAGACTTACCTGTTGGCTGGTGCGTTGCTCATCGTATCGATGGAAAATTCTCTCTCTCTCTCTCTCTCTCTCTCTCTCTCTCTCTCTCTCTCTCTCGTCCTCCCTTTCACACTGCTTAACAACAACAGATAATGGATCGTCCTTCTCCCGCTCCCCCTCCTGCTCCTCCTCCCGCTCTTCCTCCTCTTGCTGCTTCTCCTGGTCTTCCCGTCTTTCTTCTCCCGCTGGGAACCAACGTGCCCGGGCCTCTGCCTCTTTCCCGCACGAACCGCTGCTTCCTTATCCTCCCTCGCTTTTTGCTTTAAGATTTCCCCCATGAACCGACGGAAGCGATGCGCCCCGGGCCTCTCCCTCTTTCCCCCATGAACTGGGGCGCCCCTATAATCCCGTGAGACACCCCTGTTCTCCTCGTCGGTCACCTGCGGCACCCCGCGCGCAACTCCTTGCCACAATTTTTTGTGGGCCCGGTGGGAGCATCACGCGCGGACCGATTTTTGCTTTAAGATATGAGAGAAGATATATATATATTTGTTTTTGTCTGTTTTTGTTTTGGTTGAAGGTTGCTGTGTGCCAAATTTCGTATCATTTGGAGAATTGGAATCTCCTTTGCTGACATTTCTGAAATTTCTAAAGATTTCTGAAATTGGAATGCTGTTGATATTTGCATGAAAGTGGGCTTTGGCTTGCAATTTTATAGGCGTGTTTTTTTTTTTAGCAATCAGTTAGTATGGTGTCTACTCTATGAATTGGTGGCAAGTTTGGTTAGAATGACCTAAATGGCATGATAAATTGTCTGAAAATTTAGGCCTCGATTGACCGTCTCTCGTTGGAGGAGAATGAAAGGGGTTTTTCAAGATGAGGTTTCTGAAGGGAAGGTAGCGCTGAGGGGGGAGGTGAGGAGAAGGGGAGTGTAAAAGGTGGTTTGGGAATCTAGTGCTTGGGGGGGGAGAGGTGGAAGGTTGCACGATTTGTTTACGTTGCTTCCAGGAGGTTGCACGGTTTATATGGCCACTGGAGGGTTCTGCTTGTTTGCTAGGTGGTTAACTCGTTGAACTATTTCAATGTCCATCGGGATGCGGGTGCAACTGCTGCTTGATGTGAAGGACCCGTTGCACTTGTTATGTTGGCGTCCCGAGGTTCCTATCGGGTTGCGCTGTTTTCGTCAATTGATCAATTTGTTATGTTCATTCCCTTAACTAACTCTGGGTTCATGTGTGGTTGCAGCTCCTGCTTCATCCTGCAGTGCAGCCCCGCCGCCCCCGATTCCATTTCCTCCCGTAACAACAGCAGCATCTCCTGCAGCAGGTGTCAATCCAGTTAATGCAGGTGCCATTCCAATATCTATGGCTGGTTGGCCGCCTCTTGCACCTGCTCTTGGGTAAGTTCCCTTTTCATGGCCTTGTTGTCTGGCCCTTATCAATCAATCTCTATGTCTTGTATAAGAAAGGGAGAAGCAAAGAATGCAGCAATTATTTCTTTTTGTGGGTCTTTCCTGTTGCCAGTTTATGATGCAACTCCGTTTTGCTGTTCTTCAAAGTGGTTGTGGTCCCAATTTTTAAAAAATGGGACCAGTTTGTTTTTTGTTTGTCTTAAACCATCACTACCTCCACTCCTGTTTTTCCTGATCCTGAATTTCACTGCGCAGCGAGTTTTGAACAGCCTGGGTTCCATTGCAATTTCGTTTCTAGTACTCCAAATAAGCAAAAAGACGAAAACGTATAACATCACGGAAGTCATCGGATATCAACAAAAGGACGAAAGAAAAAAAGAAGAATCTACGATATGAATGAAAAGGCAATCGGATACAGAATTCGTAGTACATGCTAGAGTGCACCCTCAGTCAGGGCGCTAGAGCGACGCGGTGATCACAGCAGTCGCGCTCCACAATGTTAACAAACAAACAAAAAAAAAGTATGGCCGTGAAAACAGTTCAATACAGAATGTGGATTCTGTGTGAGAGTGTGCCCTCAGTCAGGGCTTTACAGAGACAAGGATATCACGGCAGGTGCTTGCAAAAACTAAAAACGAAACAAAAAAAAGTGCTATGGACCTGATTGACTCTAGAGTTTGTGAGCGTGTGCCCCGGTGACAGTGTGTCAGTAATGCGTGGAATGTGCCCTGCCTCACTGGCAGGGCACTAGAAAGAACAGAACAGACAAAAATAAAAAAAAACAAAATCTGATCGGCTGATGTGAGGACACCTTGTTTTCAGCTGATGCCAACGTCTTTCCTCTGTACATAGTTGCTTCCTTTTTTTATTTTTTTGGGTTGCAAATGGGCACACAAGGCCCAAACATTTCGTTTCTCCCAAGCCTTGTTGGGAACCCCTAAAAATGTGGTGTGACGTTAGGCCAGTCGGGCTGGGTGGGTTCCGCCGGGAAATTTAGGCGGCCCGAAAACCCAGCAGGGATTTTTTTTTTTTTTTTTTTTTCTGAAGCCGTGTTTTTTGCTGCGCTACCCCAGGGCCCCCCAAATCTGCAATAAAAGAAGGTTTTTTTGGGGGGGGGGGCGGGGGGGGGGTTTAGAAGATGATGATAATTGGTGTCGAGGATGGCGGCCAGGGGGTGAGAAATGATGGTGAGGAGGAGGAGGAGAAGCAGAAAAAGAAGAGGAAGAAGATGATGATGATGATGATCGATGGTGGAGGATGCTGGGCAGGGGGTGAAAAACGATAGCAAGAAGAAGAAGAAGAAGAAGAAGAAGAAGAAGAAGATGGGTGGTGGGAGATGGTGGGCAGGGGTCGCCCTCAACTTCGGCAGCCGTGGGGGAAGGTTGAAAATGTGGCCCCACACACGCCGGCAGAGGGCTGAAAAAAAAATCGGATAGGTTGGTCGGGGATGGTGGGCAGGGGGGCAGGAGACGGTGACCAAGAAGAAGAAGAAGCGAAGGAGGAGGAGAAGAAGAAATGAAGGTGGGGGGGGGGTGTGGTTTAGAAGATGATGATGATTGGTGGTCGAGGATGGCGGCTCGGGGGTCAGAAACGATGGCGAGGAGGAGGAGAAGAAGAATACTAATAATAATAATAAGATGATGATGATCGATGGTGGAGAATGGCGGGCAGCGGGTGACAAGCGATGGTGAGAAGAAGAGGAAGAAGAAGAAGATGGGTGGTGGGAGATGGCGGGCCGGGGTCGCCCTACACGAAGTTGCGGGAAAAGGCCGCCGTGGGGGAAGGTTGAAAATGCGGCCCCACATGCGCCGACAGAAGACTCGAAAAACAAAATCGGATATGGTGGTCAGGGATGGCGGGCAGGGGACCATGAAATGACCAAGAAGAAGAAGAAGAAAAAGAAGCAAAGCAGCAGGAGGAGAAGAAGACGGGTGGTGGAAGATGGTGGGCAGGGGGTCATTTGACGGTCGCCAAGAAGAAGCGGTGAAGGGGGAGGAGAAGAAGAAAAAGAAGAAGAAGAAGACGGCTGGTGGAGGATGGTGGGAAGGGGGGCTTGAAACGGGGGTGAAGAAAAGGAAGAAACGCAGAAGAAGAAGAAGAAGCGCAGAAGAAGAAGAAGCGCAGAAGAAGAAGAAGAAGCGCAGAAAAAGAAGAAGCGAAGAAGAAGAAAAATGAAGAAGAAGAAGCAAAGAAGAATAAGTTCTCTCTCTCTCTCTCTCTCTCTCTCTCTCTCTCTCTCTCTCTCTCTCTCTCTCCCAACTAACGTGCTTACCTTGGCACTGGCGGGGGACCGCGATGGCTGCCGTTGGTGGGCGACAGCGGGGTCATGCGCGATGGTGGGCGCTGGTGGGCGTTGGCTGGATTCGTTGGAGTTACCATTAACGAATGGTGACGGGCGGAGGGAGGCGTTGTGTGGGCGAGGGAACGGGGGCTGGCAGTTCCCGCCCTCACCGTTTCAAATTGTCGCCCATCTTGGATGTGTCAAAGAAGATCAATGGCCCAGATTGGTCCCGATTTGAAATCGGTGAAATTGGGCCTACCGGAGCCGATTTTTGTTTTTCAGGCCTGGATGGTCTTCTGTGCGGGCGAAAAGAACCCCCCTTCTCTGATGTGCTGGGGCTGCCCGGTGGCCAACCGGGCGGGACAACCGGCCAGGCAGCCCCCCCCCCCCCTTTCCCCGGGCAACGGCCAGGTCGCGGGGGGCCCCAGGACCAGCCTACGTGTGACGTATATTCCCGTTTTTCCCAAGGCTCAGAAAGGTCGTGGTGGTTTAAGTCACCAGTAACGGCACAGCTTTTTGTTATGGGCGCAGCGCGTTTTTTTCGTCTTAAACCACTACCGTTGAACCTCTCTTTGCCGACCCTGAATTTACCTGCGCGCCGAGTTTTGCCGAGCGCGGCATAAAAGTGGAACATCATGATTTTCATTTTCTGGTACTCGTGTGAAAAAGAGAACCATAATAATGGTGGTGGTCTGCTCCATTGAACGAATGTAGGCTACAGAAGAAGAAAAAAAAAATCAAAGCTTTAGGCATGATAGCGGAGAGATTCAGTTTTTCAAGTACCTGTGTCAGTATGCCCTCAGCTGTGGCTTTTCCAGCAAAGCATGAAATACGCCCCGCTTGCTGTCAGGGTACTTACTCAAAATGAAACGGAAAGAAAAATAAAACAAGAACATGGATTTCGACCTTAATGCAATCACATACATTCCTTAAAGTACCTGTGTGAGTATGGCCTTCCTCACGGCCAGGGCCGAAGTATGAAGAAAACAAAACCAAACACCAACACAGATTTTGCTCTACTACTGGTTAGATTCATTGTAGTGAGTAACTGTGAGTTTGCGCTTACAAAGTTCTTGGCACCGTTGTCAGAACGTGGAATCAGCCCTGCCTTGCTGGCAGGGCACTAAAACAAAAAAGAAAAAAGGAAAGAAAAACAAAACAACAGCAGCGAATGGGAGTGTAATAGCAGTCACATACTATTTATGTTGTGCCTGGGTGAGTAATGCCCTCGGTGAAGCAGTTCACCAACATCACAAGCACCCACGTTCTTTGTTCTTTTTTTTTTTTTTTTTTTTTTCTGGCAGGGGAAGCTTTTCCGCAGGGCCCAAATCCTTTGTTTTTTGTGTTTTCAAGTAATTTGATGCCGAACCTCGGCCGGATCCCCGAACTTTTTGGATGAGGTCACTTTCCGAAATGGGACTACAGCTGTGAAAGGTAGTGGTGGCTTAAGCCATACCTGACTTTTCTTTTCTGTTTTGTTTTTTCTTCTTCTTTTTCAGGCACCTTGTTTCCCAACAGTGCTGTCGTTTTGGCGGGTAAAAAGATAACCCCCTCACGCCTGGGAAAACAGCTTCCTCCCATCACCTTCATTTTTCTGCTCTGAACAGGTTCAAGCACTAACGGTGGATAGGCTTGGCAGGCAGCAGGTCAGGGTAATTGTTTAATCAACGTCAATGTGAATCACCATGCACTGATGATGAACCGGTTTCTGATTGACCCCTGCATTGGTTTATGGAACTTCATGCATGTTGTCTCCCTGGATGATGGGATTCTATGGCTGGTTATTTGTGAGCATTGGAACCTGTGAACGGGTTGCAAAACAGTAATTGTCATGCCTTTTTTTTTGTCTGTGTGTGGGGTAACTCTGCAGGTACCTACAAACAGTTGCTGCTGTTGCCGCACAATGGGGCCCTGGTGCTGTTGGCAGGGAAGACACAAGTGCTGCGGCTTCTCAGGTAACACGAGGAAAGGCAACTTCTTTGTGCTCCTGCAGTCTTGACGTGGTCTTTCGATGTTTTATCACAGGGTAACTTGTGTGCAACCAATCATTTCATTTACAAAATGTCGACATGCTCTGTAATAATCTGCTCTAATATGCCCTGTTGTTGCCTAAGTGGCCGCTGCAGGCGCCCAACGCCGCCTCTACTGTAGGCCGCGTTGACGTGGGGACACAGAACCCCCAAAGTTGGCTTCAGGGCCCCTGTGCCTGACAGTCGACAGCATCCCAGGAGTCAAAGTCTGCATGGACCCAGCCCAGGCCGCCGATCAGACAGACACACTTGTTGGTATGCAGGTATCCAGACAGCATTCAGACCAAGTGGAACTCTGTAACTGTACTACATACAGGCCGTTGGTGGTGAGTCAATCTGAGCGTCCGTGGGTGAGGGATCAGAGGCAGGTTAATCTCGTCAACACTACTTATTGACTCTGCCTCCGGGAGTCAACATGCTGGCTTGACGCTGGCTGGACGCTGGCACTGTGTGACGACGACGTGAGACTGCTGCATCGCGTGCTGGCGCCTTCCTGCTCTGGCGCTAGCCGTCTTCTTGCTGACATGGTGCATGCCACGCTGTCTTCGACATTGCTGACTTGGCACTTACCACACTGTCTTCATTGCTGAGTTGGACGCGACAATGAGGGAGATCGGGATCTGTGGATTGATTGAGAGAGAGGAGGCTTACCTGTTGCTGATGTCGACATTGCGCACTGTTGTGACGTCTTCATGGGAGAACTGTGCCACGTGGCACTCTGATGTGATCAGACCTTGTCAGGCTCGTTTCTTGTACACTGTTTGGTGAGGGAGGTCGGGATCTGTGGATTGATTGAGAGAGAGGAGGCTTACCTGTTGCTGATGTTGACATTGTGCACTGTTGTGATGTCTTCATGGGAGAACTGTGCCACGTGGCACTCTGATGTGATCAGACCTTGTCAGGCTCGTTTCTTGTACACTGTTTAGTGAGGGAGATCGGGATCTGTGGATTGATTGAGAGAGAGGAGGCTTACCTGTTGCTGATGTCGACATTGCGCACTGTTGTGATGTCTTCATGGGAGAACTGTGCCACATGGCACTCTGATGTGATCAGACCTTGTCAGGCTCGTTTCTTGTACTCTGTTTGGTGATGTGGAGGAGATGGGAGGCCCGAAGAAGGAGAGGGGAACGAGGGGCTTCTATCTAGGTGGTCATTGACAGATACTTACTCTTTCACCCTCTTAAGTCTATTCTCCCCCTCTCCTTCGTCCTCTGATTAAGAGACTTTGTATCGCAGATCACATTTCATGATTATTGGAGATAATTAATCAGCGCTGAGTAATCTTGTACTTCAACACCTGATGTTGGGCTACATAAGTGTGAGAGTGCACAATCTTTTGGCTTATTAGTGGCTCACTTGTAAAATGTTTTTGAGGGTCTGTGAGCAGGTTGTGATTGGGAACGCGTAATAATAGTCGCTGTTTCTGTCCTTCGGGACATTCGTTAAATTTGGAACGATACAGAGAAGATTAGCATGGCCCCTGCGCAAGGATGGCACGCATTTATCGAGAAATGGTCCAGATTAAAAAAAAAAAAAAAAGTCACTGTTTCTCATTTCGTGGTGTGCAACGGTACTCATGACCTCATACTGAGATGCTGACTTTGGCTGTTGATGTTTCATGCTGCAGATGGCTTTTATGATGCCACCACGTCGTCCCTGGAAACGCTGTGCGACTCATGTTTATATTGCGCAGTACATTGCATTCCAACAGAAGGTGCAAGAGAACGTTTACCTGCAACACCAGTACAACAGCTCTCTCTACGGCAAGGGCTACATGCCTCTGAACTCTGCAGAGAGCTTGTTCACATCCCTGCCGGGCAGCAGTCCAGGGGCCTCAGCAGGTGGTGGATCAGGCGCTTTGGGAATCCCCAATAGCTCGGTCACGGCAGACAGAGTTCAACACATCCCTGGGAGTGCAACTGTCAGCTCAGGTTCAACCATTGTGGGTCCAGGTGGGGGTGCACAGGGACCTGGAAAGGATCGAGGTGTTGTGTATGGTGAGGCTGGACCGAGGAAGTCGGCAGGTTTGTCCATGCAGCAGCATCCACAGCAACAGAATGCAATCTCCATGCAGGTGCGATTACACTCTTGAATCTTGAGCAATGCTTGGTTGTGTTTACGACAGCGTAATTCTGCTTGTGTAATAATGTTGGATGTTTAAATATCCGTTGACCCGTGAGTGTTTGAGCCTGCGACCTGTGTTCTGAGAGTCGTATGTTTAGTTGTTGTAGATAGTGTTGTCGCCGGGTCTTGAACTGCAGGTCTGTGTCTTAGGAGTCTTAGCAGCAGTGTAGGTCGTAGCTGGTACAGTGCCGAAGGGTCAAGACTACGATCTTCCGGATCTTCCAGAAATGGCCCTTCGTAGGTCCTAGGAGTCAGTCGGCGTCTGAGTCAGCAGGGGGCATTCCTAGCACAGTCAGCGAAGGGCAGTCCTAAGTCCTACCTAGCCTAGTCAGCGGTACTCAGTCCCGGGTTGCACTTTGTCAAGTCAGCAAGTACCGTGTGGGACTCTGTGCACCCCAGGGCCGGTGTCCAAGGGCTGACCTACGAAGATCCGAAGTACAAATCAAGAGGCAGCATCCAGTCATTCATTCAATCTGCCTGTGAGCCGCTCGGAAGTGCTGTCTGTGTGTCTTGTGTACGGGGGTCTGCAGGTGCCCAAAGGAGAAGAGGGCTAAGAGGAGGAAGACGCGGCAATAGCCGCTCGTTGTTAGTTGAGGTACAAGAAGGCAGCCATAGCTGGTGCAGGTTAGCAGTAGAGGGAGGGTTAGTCTGTGTGTGAGTGTGCTGTGTAAGTGTGTGCGGGACGTCTAGGGAGATCGAGAGTGGTGTGTGTGTGCTAAGAAGTTGCTGAGGATACAGTTGATCGGGGGGGAATCTTTGTCTGGCGCATGGGCTCCATAGCCGATTGAGACAAGTTTGAATCTGAGCTTTGTGTGGGCGCCATTGCGCCAGTGTGATTGCCATCTGTTTGCATGCATGCCAAGTGTCAACGAAGACAAGTCTGGTTGCAGTGGTGCTCTTATGCCAAGTGTGAAGACGAGTCTGGAGTGGTCCTCTTATTCTCCACTGCAGTGACTGTTTTGACCCATTTCTGTCTCTGAAGGCTATTCTTCTCGAAAATTTGGTCACATGTTGGGGGGCTTATTGTTATCTTCACTGCGTCCATGCAGGTGCCCCAAACTCTTGGCTTAGGAGCCATGTGTGACGATGCATAATGCTTCTGGTGTATAATTATGTCTGATCACATGCTCTTATTCCGCACTGCAGTCTTTCCTTCTCCTCGGTGGCCCAATCCTGTTTCTGAAGGCCGTCACACAATGAGGGGGTTGTTGTGTTATTCACTGCTATTTCTTGTGGCTTTGTATGTGTCCAGGGAGGGGCCCAGTTTCCTTATGCGTCGACTCCACCTGTTTCTTCCTCTGGTCCAAGTTCACAAAGCTCAGGTCTGGGAGTGAGTGGGGTCACGAATGTGGTTGCTCAGGGGAGTAACACCATTGGTGGTCAACACATTGCTGGTGCTGGTATCGGAAGCAACAATGGAGCTGCGAGTGGACTTGTAGGGTCTTGCACAGCAAGTGGTGCAGCTGCTGCTGCTGTACAAGCTCAAGCTCAATACGCTCAGCTGCAGTCGCAGCTGGCACTTATTCAACAGGGTGGATTCCCATTTGCTTTCCCACCTGGGCCCTTCAGCCCCCCCCCTTTTGGGAATACTCCTCCTGGGCTGGGACCACAGCAGGTTAGTCAGCGACCCTCCCAAGTCTGTGAGGGCTAATGTGTACCCTTCATGAGCTGGTCACTGACATGTCTGCTTCATTGAGAGAAATTCCGCTTCTCATATTTCTGCACCACAACATTTGGAGATCTTATTTGAAGCCTCAATGCTTGCCAGGGGGAGGCAGGATTGGGCATCTATTTGAGGACAGAATGACGCTGAGAAAGATTATTATCAGACTCTGATTATGTGAATGGGCATTCCACTATGTTTGTTTTGAGCTCTGTAGGATGGATGTAGGATGGATATGGCAGACAACCACCACACTGCATTTGCAAAGAACCTGGGAACTACCTGAGTGTGGGTGGACTCTATGTGGATAGAAAATAGATGACGATTGAGAAAGTGCTTGAAGCGTGTTTAATTGCGAAGGATAAAGGACTGACACTGAGAATGACACACTCAATTCTTTTCATCTTTTGCAGGCTCAGTTCTTTCCAAATCCGTTTGGTTATCATCTGATGCCACCGGTGCCTCCACAGCAGCCACAGGTGTCAGCTGGTTCTCAGCAGCAGTTGGCGTCATCAGCTGCAGCTGGTGGCCTGGCCTTGCACCCCCAAAACCATCAAAACTCCCAACAGAAAAGCAGCATCAGTCGAGGGGGAGCAACTGTTCCTGCTGGTGGGGCTGCCTCTGGACAGTTACAGAATCAGCAGGGATCGCAGCAGCAGGCACAACAGCAGGCTGCACAGTCCCCTCCGAGGCCAGCAAAACATGCGGCGCATCACCAGGCGCAGCAACAGCAACATCAGCAGGCACAACAACAGCACCACCCTCAGCGTATGGCAATTCACCAGTCATCTTCTCTCCAGCAACAGTCTCCACCACGGCAGCAGCAGCTGCAGCAGTCCCAGCAGCAGCAACAAGGGGGGCATTCTTCACAGCAGCAAATGGGAGGAGGAACGTCACAGCAGGTGCAAAATTCTCAGCGGCAGATCGGACAACAGCAGCGTTCAGCGCAGCAGGTAGACAGGGAAGCATCAGGTGGAGTATCTGCTCGAGACAATGGTGGTCCTGGTGCTGCAAATGAGAGACTTTTTGCAGGGATGAAAAGGGTGATTTATAGTGGTAATGCCTCGTCCCTATCAATGTCAAGTGGAAACGCATCCTCAGGGACTTTGGCGCATGGCAATGCCCCCACGTCATCAAGCTCTTCTCCATCACCAGGTGGGCTCCATGGACATGAAATCAGTCTAATGCAGGGATCCTCAGGAAGTCCATTAAAAACTTCTGGAAAACATCAGCCGCAGCAGCATGTATTGCATCAACAGGGGGCATTAATACAGCAGCAGCACATTCAGCAGGCACAGCACACACAACTATCTCAGCTTCAGCAGCACCAGCAGCAGCAGCCACCTGTGTCTAACAAAGGACAGCAGCAACAGCAGCAACAACTGCAGCAGCAGCAGCCTGCACAGTATCAGTTGCACCAGGCGTCTTCACAGCAACAAGTTACAAATCAGATCCAGCAAGCGCAAGTGCTAGGCCCCATTCTTCATGGTCCCTCTCACCAGGGACCTGCACATCATGCCATCATGGCTGGTATGGCATCAAGCCTGAAAGGGTTGGAAGGTGCAGCCGCAGCTGCTGCTGCATCACAGGCATTTGCAAATGTGTCGATGATGGGGAGGGGGCCTGGCCCCCTTGGGCTTCCATCAGTTGCTGCAGTCATGGCAACACAGGGTCATGGAGCTGTACCAGGAATGCCAGATGTGGGAGTCATGCGTGGTCAAATACAACATCAAGGCCATTCATCACATCATTCACAGCCGACTCAACAGCAGCAAGTACAGAGTCAGCAACAACAGCAACAGCAGCAGCAGCAGCAGCAGCAGCCTCCAGCAGCTCTTCTGCATAGAGTCCACTCACAGGGGCATGTTCAGAGGCAGGATGAAAGCCGAAACGGAATGGAGGGCTATGCAAATATGCCAGGAAGAGGAAGTAGGGAGGACGAAAGGAAGGGAGCAGCAAAACGTGGAGCCAGTGCGCCAGATGGATTGGTCTTTCCAGGTGGAACTTCTTCACGAACGGCCATGGGAGTTGCCGGGTCAGGGGCTCCTCCTGTGGGGATCGGTTTGGCTGGCTCTTCGGTCCAGCAAGCACAGCATAATGTCCCATCCATGAGGGGCAGTACTACAGCGCCACTGCAGAGTGGAGCTGGAGCTGGTGGGCCAAAGCAACAGAGCTCTCGCAGTAAGCAAGTTATGAGCATGGTCTCAGTAGGGAACCCGGGATCTGCAGCTCAAGGAATGAGTATGGGTATGGGATTGGACAGGTGTGCAGCTGTAGGGACACAGCAGCAGTCCGGCAAGTCTTTGGCAACCTCTTTGGTCCCCATCGTTCCTGGTGTCACCGCAGTCCGATCAAGTGGTGGGAATGTAGCTACTAGTGGTCCGTCAGGTGGGGGACGAACGACAGCGCATTGTGCCCAAGCCACTGTACCGCCTGGTGCTGGAGGGGTTCAGCAGGTATTCACTGCTATGTCAAAGGGCCAAGGTGGGGGTTCAGCAACAGGTACGCATCAGCGGGCTGGGGCTCCCGTGATGAGCAGAATGCCAGCAAACCAGGCTTCTGCTTCTAGTGGTGGAATTTTGCCACCCTTGCACCCAGTAGGGAAGGTGAGTGGTGGAGCTATCGGAAAGAACGGTAGCATGGGAAAGAGCTCGTCATCGTCATCTAGTGGAGCTGCATCGGGTCACAAAGGGCCAGGTGGTGGAGGCAGTGGTGGAGCAAAGAAGGCGCAATCACAAGGGAATTCCCCAGCAGGATCACCACACTTGGGATTGGGGACAGGGTCCGGTTCTGCTGTGAGTGGAGTATCGAAGGGGTCAGTATTACAGCAAATCCACCAGGTTCAGGGCCAGGCAACGTCGCAGAGTCATCTGCAAGGACAGCATGGCATTCCTCAGCAACAGCACATTCAGTACTCTCAAGTAGGTGCAACGTCAGCTGCGCTCGTTTCATCCTCGGGATACAGCCAACAGGCATACAATTCTCAACATCATCATCATCAGCAGCAACAGCAGCAACACCATTATTGCCAGCACCAGCAGTTGCAGCAACAACAGCAATCAATGGCAGGTTCTGTCTCGTCGCCAGTACAGTATGCCTCCCAGCAGCAGCAGCAGCAGCAAATGTATCAACATCACCAGCAGGTACAACAGCAGCAGGGTGCACAGGCCCAATCTGGACCAGTTCAGGGCCAGCATCATCAAGCGCAGCAGCAGCCCTCACAGCAGCACCAGGGTCAGGCAGCCTCTTCTCGAAGTCCTCCTCAGCAAGCCTCGCTGCAGCAACAGCAGCAGGTACCTCAGCAGGCTCCACAGCACCAGAACATACAGCATCATCAACAGCAAAGGTCCCCTTCTCCTCACCCTCAGAATTCGCCACATCCACAGCAATCAAGTGGGGGCCTGCAGCAGCAGCAACAACCATCGCAGCAACCCCAACAACCCCAGCCACCCCAGCAGCAGCAGCAGCAGCAGCAACAACAGCAGACACCCCCACTTCTGCAGCAGCAGCAGCAACAGAATTCTTTGCACCACCTTCAGCAACAGCAGGCACACTCGAATGCATCATCTGGATCAGCCGGGGCAGGTAACACCGCTGCTGTTGGAAACGGTGTCCTTTCGATGGCTGCTCCCACACTTAGTCTTGGAAATGGCAGCGGTGCAGCTGGGTCTGTGGTTGGAAGCTCTGCTGCTTCTGGGCGGGGAGGGCCCACTCAGAGTCACGTAGAAAAGACATTGGCACAAGTCCTACCCATGCGCACAGGGCCTCAGGGGAATCGAGGAACAGCTGGGCTGGGTATGCAGCTGCCTCCTGTACAGTCTCAGAGAGCATCTGCTGGCAACTTCTTGCACCCACAATTTGGCCCACCTACCATGCAGCTTCAGGGTCAAGGTGGGAGTCCAAGGGGCGTGCAACAGTCATACGCTCAAATGTCACCAAGCTCTGCCGACAGGTTGAGGAAGCCTGAAAAGAATATGCCTGGTGAGTTGGGCATACCCCTTACAATTGGTGCAGGCTGTTGAATATATGCAAACTGTGCGATATGAGAGGCCACAAAAATGTTTTCCATTTTGTTCTTTCCAACGCCCTGCTCTTCTTGCAAATGGGGAATGAATGGACACCAGTACAACATGTACACTACCTCAACAAATCATGAATGCACCTCTGCCACACTGATGAGATGGGTTTGCTTTGCGACACTGGCCTACCCCACTTTATCTGGAATCGCTGAGAAAGGATTTGTTGAACTATTTGGCCCGTCTCTATCCGTGCTGGACACCATCACCTGACTACAACATGGGCAGCTTTGCAAAAGCGTATCACCTGTGTGTAGGCAAGTAGACTTCATCTGAACCATGTGCTTCCTTGTGTGCAGCAGTGATAGAAACTGTTTCACACTGGGTTTCTGTCCATAAAGAGCAACAGTTTGACCATTTCGACAACTATCAATGCCTGGGATGTGTTACCAGGATACAAGGAGGCATGCATGTAATGCATTGATGCCTAAAAGCGTGCTGATTGACATCACAACCCAGTGCATTCAATGCATTGATGCCTAAAAGCATGCAGCTTCTCGCCGCCATATTTACTGGGCAGCACGCATCGCGAGAGTGACTAAAACAAAAACAGCACTGTGTTTAAGGATTCTGCTTCATTTTCCTCGCCACTTTGAGGGCAGATGACTACGGTGTTCAGGGTGATTATGTAGTCGTGGCGAAAAGGGAAGGGGAGTTGGACTGAGGAAGATGGGGTAGGAAGTGAAGGAGAACGGGTTGACAGCACTAAAAGAAACAGAGAAATGAGGCAGGCAGGGGACATGACAGCGGTATCCAGGGTGGTTATGGGAAGGAGCAGTTGGACTGAGGAACATGGCGGGAGGAAGCGAAGGAGAATGAGGTGACAGCACTCAAAGAATTGGAGGAATGGGGCAGGCAGGGGACATGACAGTGGTGTCCAGGGTGATTATGTAGTTGTCGAGAAAAGGAAAGGAGCAGTTGGATTGAGGAAGATGGCGGGAGGAAGCCAAGGAGAACGAGCTGACAGCACTAAAAGCAACAGAGAATTGGGGCAGGCAGGGGACACGGGTAGATTACAGAGGATGCGAGGTTGATAACGAATTTGTCGAGGGAAGGGAAGGAGCAGTTGGACTGAGGGAGATGGCATGGTAGGAGGAAGAGGAAGACATGGAGGTGATAGCAATAGAGAAAAGGAGAAATGGGAGGGGATTCAAAGTCAGCTGGGATCTGGACAAGGCGAATAACAGCCAGATATGGTCTTGGAGAAGTGGTTTTAGGGGAGCAAGGAACAAAAGGCATACATGCAAGCGCACGTTGTGCGCCAAATCACGGACTGTTGGTGCAGATGCGCACCTCTACCTCATGGCGCACGACCTGTGTGGCGTTCAGGACCGCAGGCCCACCCCCACAAAAAAAACAAAGGGCAGATGTCTTTTCGTC